TTGTATTCCCTAAAATATCAAGACTTTGCGACACTGGGCCCCGAAACCTCTAAAATTTCTCAAAAAGCGAGGATATTAGTCTTCTATTTTGGAATTTATTGACTTTTTTCGCCCATAAATAAAAATTGTCGAAATGTTTACCATAGTCCCTAATACCCTCCGGGAGTCCGATTGGGGTTGTGGAACCATCCAAATTGCCTTTAAACGACCAATTTACTGGTTTATCACTTGCAAGGATTTCATTATCTCAAGCATACTGCGAACAATTATGGCAACATATAATGATCATATATGGGTCCAAACGGCATTATATGACCCCTAGATGTATTCCATAAAATCTCAAAACTTTGCGACACCGGGCCCCGTAACGTGTAAAATTTCTCAAAAGGCATGGACATTAGCCTTCAATTTTGGAAATTTTTTACTTTTTTCGCCCGAAAATAAAAATTGCTGAAATGTTTACCTGGGTCCTTAATACCATCCGGTAGTCTAATTAGGTGGTGGAACCATCAAATTTGCCTTTAAATGGCCAATTTACCGGTTTATAGCTTCCACTGATTTCATTAGCTCAAGCCTACCACGAACATTTATGAGAACAGTACAAATAATGATCATATATAGTACCAAACGACATTATATGACCCCGAGATTTATCTCCTAAAATTTCAAGACTTTTCGACACCGGGCTCCGAAACCTCCAAAATTTCTCAAAAAGCGTGGGTATTAGTCTTCAATTTTGGAATTTTTTGACTTTTTTTCGCCCGAAAATAAAAATTGTTGAAATGTTTACCATGGTCCATAATACCCTCCGGGAGTCCAATTGGGTTGGTGAAACCATCCAAATTGCCTTTAAACGGCCAATTTACCGGTTTATCACTTGCAAGGATTTCATTAACTCAAGCATACTACGAACAATTATGACAATATATAATGATCATATATGGTTCCAAACGACATTATATGACCCCGAGATAAATCCCCTAAAATATCAAGCATTTTCTACACTGGGCCCTGAAACCTCTAAGATTACTCAAAAGCGTGGATACTAGTCTTCAATTTTTGAATCTTTTGACTTTTTTTTGCTCGGAAATAAAAATTGGCGAAATGTTTACCATGGTCCTTAATACCTTACGGGAGTCCAATTGGGTGTGTGGAACGATCCAATTTGCTGTTTAATGACCAATTTACCGGTTTACAACTTGCACCGATTTACCGGTCTACAACGGCCAAGTTAAACGACCAATTTAAGTTGGTCTAGGCCAGCAAAAGAAAGGAGCATCATTCTCAAATTTAAGAGTTAAATATAGTATATAGTTGTTGTATGGTTGTAGGGAATAGTTTCAAGCCTTTAAAAATCCCACTAGCTTGAACCCCACTGTGATCATACACTAAAGTACGGTGGCGTCCAAAAGGGAAGAAGATAGAGCAAAAGAGTCGCCAACAAGTTTTTAAGGAACTTGTAAACCTTTCACGAGGTAAAGGTTACACCCCTTAACGATCCAAGAGATCGTCAACTCCATAAGGTCATGAACCAAAATAGGGTTTGGGGATGATGGTACAAATCCAACCTAAAAGAGATTGAACCTGCCCTAATAATAGACCTCTACTTTATTCTGCTCGTATTCATGTGCGCTTTCTGATTAACATGCAATCAATAGGATTAACCCCAAACCTGTTTAATCTATGTTGGTTGAATTTAATGCACAAATAAACTATTATTGGCGATCACTTGAATTATAATCACAATTAACCTAACAAGATTATTAATTATCTTATCAAGCGTGATTGCAAATACCAAATTCCCTTTAACCATACATAAAAGGTGATCAAGCAATAACAATATAAAATAATATGCATATCAAGCAACATAATAAATAATCATCATCAATCATAATCATAAATATTAGAAAGAACATAGGAAGCATCATACTTTTAATCATATTTGATATTAAAAACACCCTAGACATGATACTAGGAATAAAAATAACAATCTAAACATGATGTCTACATCATAAATCAATTAAACCATTAAAGTACTTACTTGGATGTCTCGTACCTCTTTCTAATTACAAAATACACACGTTAGTAACTTCAAGGAAAATAATAAATCAAAACAATTAAATTAAATAATAGAGATTTGGGACCAAACCCTCAGAAATTAAAACCTTTCACGTCTAGGGCGAAGGCAATTTCGAATATGGCTAGGTGTATCAAGATCTTGTGAATGCGGAATTTTGTATGAAAAAAAATAAAGTTTAGAAAGAAAGAATGCTAAAAGATTAATGTTATTGAAAATTGATGAATGAATGATGAAGATGAAGAGAGAATTAATGAAAAGCCTTGATGAATGAAGAGAATTGATGAATAATTCTGTAAAGAGATTGTTGATGAATGATGATTGTAGATGGTGAAGATAGATGGTGAATTCGTGAATGAAAACGGAGTGTTGATACGATATTTATAAAGAAAATCGGCCAAAAAAGATAATTTATCAAAATAGAGTCTGAAGATCGCAAAACCACCTTGGCGCCAGCCCTGGCTCGTTGGCGCTAGGACCAGTGGCTAGCGCCAGGCGCCAATGGCTGGCGTCTGACGCCAATCCTGATTCCAGGCGCCAAGGCCTGGGGTTGGACGCCAAATTGGATTTCAACGCGTTTTCGAAAATCTGATAAATTTCCCGTACTGGAAGATAAAATAATATAATTTCAGTCGAAAATGCTATTTGATCTTGATTAAAACTCTAAAGAATCCTAATTGAATTAAGAATGATAAGACCTTCTAGAATGTTCTAGAAGACTAAAACCATTCCTAATTACATTAGGAATGATAAATCATATTAGGCCCTCCCCTAGATCATTGGGCCGTACTTAAAACTCAAACCGGGCCCAGTTTAGTAAATTGGCCATAAATTCCTCAATATTCATCGGAATTGGGCTTATAATATATCGTTGGAAAGGTCTTTGCAAGACCCATCCAACTACACCACTATTGGACCCATATCATGGACCAACCAAACTGGATTGGTTGTTTTCTTAAAATAAAGTTTTCAAAAACAGAGAGAAGAGAAAAGAAAAGAAATAAAACTTTCCGCAACACCAGACCTTTCCACACTTTCGTTTCATTCGATTATGATTCGACGTGAAAGGTACTCATCACTGGGTTTGGTTTTGGGGAGACACAAATGGGTGTCTACAATGGTCAAAGGAGATAATTATCTTCCTAAATTATAGACTATAGTTCCCTAGTATATTGTCATACAAAGTATATATTATAGTCAAAGGAAATAATTAGCTTGATAAAAATGATAATTATCTATTTATAGTTAGTTGAACCCGAATATGACCTGACTTGGAAATGACCCGACCTGATTGTAACCAGCAAATTATTGACTTTAACATAACCCGACTTGAATCCGAGAATGACCCGACTTAAAAATGACCCAACCTGATTATAACCCGCAAATTATTGATTTTAACTGAACCCGACTTAAACCCGAGAATAACCCGACCTAATTATAATTCGCAATTATTGACTTGAACCGAACCCGACTCAAACCAGAGAATGACCCGACCTGATTCTAACTCGCAAATTATTGACTTGAACCAAACCCGACTCGAACTCGAAAATTACCCTAACCCGTGAAAACCCGAATTAAACCTGGCCTATTGTTCACTTGACCCGAATGTAACCCGACTTGTTATTAACCCGACCCAGAGCCGATAAGAAGTATGATCCGACGTGACCCGACTCAAGTATGACCCAACCCAAACTCGATCCGCATAGGTTATGGAATTAATCCGAATTGACCCGACCCGAGTTGACCCGACCCAAAGTCAAGCCGTTTACCCAAATTGACAGCTCTACATATAATTACTTAAAAAAAAAAGTATTTGAGGTTAACTTTTTTTAAGAATATAGTCTTCATTTACTTGACAAGAAGTACTAAATTAGGCCAAAAAAAAAAAATCTTATTTGTATAATCTTTTTCTATTATTTACGGAGTAGTATTTTTTTGGCCCACTAGCTCAACCCAAAAAAATATAGGTTTGGATAAAGCTAATTATAGTAATTGTAAAACAAAATAATGTGTGTGAAATCAATATCAATCAATCAATATATATTTTAAAACTCATGGCAAGACATGATGTTTTGTCATGTGTCAATAATTTTGCCACTTGGCATATGATGTGTCGTCGCCAAATCATACCATAACATTAATATTCTATGCATTAACTTTCATGTATTAATGTTAAGTTTAATTGATAAACTCTTCCTATGCATGACAATTTCCCTTGTACTGTAACTCCTTAACAATTACATAATAATAAAGTTAGTAAGAAATTAAACATTTACTCCATTTTTATTTTGTGCATTAACATAACTCATAAAATTGTAATCATAGTGTAACAGATTTTTGTGCATTATGGAGAAGTATATATTTTGACATCAAATTTATAAAGATTTGATTTATAATATTTTTATGATTTTAATGTAAAAAAAATGATTCTTATAATCAAACCAACTCATACAAGCAACAAACTACTTAAGCTATCATATTAAATAAATAAATAAATAAATAAAACCATCATTTAAGCTCTCAATGACAAATTAAACAAGCCAAAATATATATAGTTCGATTAAAGTAATAAATTTATAATGACCCGGGACATCGCGCGGGCCAATAACTATTTTAATTAACTAAAAGTATGGATTTGTACTATACGTATTAAAAGGTTAAAGGTTGTACTCTCTTGAGAAATTATTGATCATAACGTTGAGATGGCCGAGTTGGTCTAAGGCGCCAGATTAAGGTTCTGGTCCGAAAGGGCGTGGGTTCAAATCCCACTCTCAACAAACTCGTTTTTTTTTTTTTTTTTTTGGGAGATAGCTGAAATTTTTTCTACATTCCAAGTTAACACACACTTCTTTGAATGAGTGGAAATGGGAAATTCATAGTTTATCACAAGAATAAAATCAAAATTGATAATTACACAAAACACTCCAGCAAAATGTGGTGTCAAAACACCGTGCCACTTCATTGATTTGTATACCTTTAGTAGCAGTAAAAAACTAATAATCAGTAAACAGTACAAGGGAAATTGATCACTATCTCCAATTTCGTAGGATATTTTAATGAAATATACTCTCTAACAATGTTTGTCTTATGATCAAGTAGAAAACAGAACACAGGTATTGGTATTAATATAAGTGTTAGCATTAGCCACCGTGCAAGGTAGATATAAAGACTACCACGTCTTTCTCTTCAAGTGTAGTGTCAAGCTGACCGCTAAGCTCCCAGTCACAGTCGTTCACTAGAACAAGAACTCCGGGTCTCCTGCAGTTGAATGTTCTGACTTTATTAGACGTCAACAGAAATGTGCTACGAGATATTTTTAGCTATTGCCATAAAGACTCATACTAGTAAAATTCAAATGTAAGCAATGTAACAAACTAACAACAAATTATTAGTCTTGATTCACTGACTTTAGCCTCGGTACTCAACAGCAGAGGTGAACATGAACAAGGACAGGCTTTGGCCTGAATAAATTTTATCAGGGCCTGAAATTCTAGCCCATGCCCAAAGCCAGTAAAATCAATGCAGGACAGATTAGACCAAGCTAGCCAATGACTAATTTTGGCTGAAACTGATGATTCAGGTCAGGGCAGAAATTCTGCCAAAACCCATTCAATTAGGCCAGACCAATCAGATAGATCTTCTCATCAGAAAGTGGAATATAGCTAATGATACGACAGGCTAATATGCTAAGTATGGAGTAATAACTACAGTTAAGAAAGGGAAAATATTTCCGAGCTTACACAGTATCTCCTTTCATAAACATCTCAGGCCTCTCTTTTATAAGATTTGTTTTAACCCATGACAGCAATCTTTTCATGGTTAGCTGCAAATAACATGAAAAGCAGGTCAATTGAAGCAAATCAAAACTTACACTAGCATTTGTAATTCTCATTCTCCCCGATTTCCTTTTCTTTTACAAAATACTTTTTGAAGATGGAAGGTGTCAATTAAAAACTCACTTTCTCTTCTCCATCTGATAGGTTGACATTGACATGGTGGACCTTTTTGGATTCGCACAAAAGCTCTAGGCCCCCTCTTCACAGAAAGCCACCATTATGAGACCAAAGTTAAGAGATAATGCATAAAAGAAGACCACGGATAGTGTTCTATGCAGAAAATATCACATAAAAGAAAATATATTCTAGATATATTATAAGGAAGAAAAACAAAAATCAAGTGATTTGAGTCAAAAGACCTTTCGCAACACAACGGAGAAGTATATAAATCCACATCTGTAATTTGACTGATATTTCAAACAAGTTACTCAAAATTACAGAAAATGGTATAAACGAGTGAATGGCAACATAAAGCATCTATAAATAGGGATTAGACATCTCTAAACAAGAAAGCATCTTTCCAGCAGGCATAGCTTATTAAATGTCACAGCATAGATTTGACTGAAACATGAACATTAAACTGACCAAAAGTTAAGATAAAAATACCTGACTAGTAAGTACTTCACATTTGCAATGTCAAAAGTTAAAAGTTAATACAGCATAAACCTTGTAGCTAAGCCTAAAACTGTAAAAGACTAAAAGTACAGATCCTACATTCCACACAATTCACAAAGATTCAGTCCCTCACTCAGAAAATTTATAAGGCTGGAGATTCAATATCTCACTCTAGCCACACTTGAAAATGTAAAGGGTTGCTATGCCCCGGCAGCCACACTAATGCTCTGGCTGGAATCTTTCAGCTAAGGACGCCTTCAATAAATTTAAACCTCCCTATATCAAAGTATATAGAACTGTCTCTGCAAATACATCACATAACTCCAGCCAATCCATTTAATTTTCTCTACCCCATACTCTACCCACTTTTCTAAACATTAGAGAGACTCAATCAATCATGAAATTGGTCGTCCAGATTGCACAGCAAGGTTTTGAGTTTTGGATGCGATCGAAAACAAAATATTTAGCCTGAAACCACTTTTATGGTAAATATAGATGGTTCGTGGCTGTTGTGGCCTAACATCTAGGTCATGTTAAGTTCAAAAAGCTTTACAATGTGGCCGAGACTCTATACAATGCTCAGCTTGCAACACAAATGGAACATAGATTCACCTATACATCAAAATATCATATATGTACTTCTAATCAACTTCCATACGACTTATCTGATGTTTACATTCAAATATACCCCGTGTAGAGCCATTCTCCACATCCTTGGGATTCTTGAGTACCTAACCTAATGAACATATTCTTCACATGAGATCTCACACTACTTTGGCTAATTGGATAAGGTATTAATCTTCAATTGCACTTCAATTCCAATGTTCCAGCCTTCCAGGAAAATAAGCCATGAACATAGGTATTGTTACAAAATACGAAGTATTTTTCTACAACACTCGATCACCAAATATATGTTTATCGTCCCTTAAAGATTTCCCTGATTTTCTGTTTGGGTCATCACAAAAAGAATGCCCCCATCTCCAATTTAGATGGCATGGTCCCACAATTGTTCTCTATTTATCATCCCCAAACAATTCTACCTTCCCACTCAATACAACTCTAAATAGAGTGAAAATTGGAGACAGGGCAATATTTAAAAGACAAATGAAGTACGGAGTAGCTATTTATCTCAAGCAGTTCCAATCATACAATTAACAAAAAAGGGGTTCCCATTAATACATTCTTGTATCTATTCATCGCCAATTACAACAAAGATGCAAGCGCGAAGCTAACATTTATGAAGCAATCGGTTGCCAACAAACCTAAAGCAAAGAATAAGCACTTCCAAAATTGTTCATACCATTTCCATGATTATGGCCCTAATCTAACCAATATAACCAATGTAATTCCTATATCACTATTCAAACATAAAAATCGCATTTTTTGGGGAAGGGGAAGCAGACAAGAAACAATACAATTTGAGGAAGGAATAAACTTAACATCCATTAATCATAACGTATAACCTTAATCTTCACAAATTCCTAAAATTTCAATAATCAAGTTTCATATACCGTTATTCAAGAAAATCAATTCCATAACTCTCTACTATTTTTCATGATGCAATAATCACTAATTCTATTTAAGACTAAAGATTTTAGGGAAACATGAAGAATAACATAATTAGCCATGAAAAAAAAAAAAGTGAAAATAGAAATATAAATTAAAGATAGAGAAAATACCCAAATTCAAGAGTGAGTTGCATGATGAGTTGAGAAGAAAATGAAATGAAAGCTTGATACTTTTGCAGGGTTTTAGCGTTGGTCTTACCCTGCTACTAAACGACGTCGGTTTTGCACCAACCTATATACTCATGTGCAAATAAAGAAAGACCAATATACCCCTGAAAGGGAATTAATTAAATCAAAATTAAAAATAAAAAAAATTTAATTGTACAGTTATAATAGAATTGGGAATTTGGAAGTATTGCAGATTTGCAATTGGAGGTAGACGCTCAGTGAGTTCGAGTTAGGGTTTCGTCTTCAATTTCTTACAAAATTAGTAATTCTTTTTTTTGGGGGGGGGGGGGGGGGGGGGGTGGGAGGGGTCAATTAAATTTGTAAGTTTTTGGTAAAAATGGAGGCTTACAAGAATTGGGTTCGCCAAAACAAAGATTACGTCCATTCCTTGGAATCTCTTGCTAATGTAAGTGTGATTTTTGTAATTTTTGTTGCTATATTGTTGAATATTTAACAATTAGGAACTTTTGGGATCATGGGTTTTGCAATTTTAGCAAAGTTTAGCTGAAAAGGACGAAACTTTATGTGATTATGCTGCAGGTTTGTGCATTGGTCTTTTATTTATGATTGTGTGGTCTGAGATTGTAAATTCTCAGAAATTTGTTGGAGTATATAATTACCTAATTAGCTGTGTGAATTTTGATTGGGATATATATTGTTATTAATAAATTGAGTATATTGTATTAAATTTGATGTGATTATTGAAGCTTTAGGATTTGGTAGGCTTGGGTTATATAGTCAGAAGTGTTGGCAGCCGGCAGGTGTGTTGGTGTTTGTGTGTGCGCGCGTGCGTAGGCGCTGTATTAGTGTATATCGACATTTTACTGTCTGTATGGAAGTTGTGTAGGAGTAACAAATACGAGTGGATTGTTCGAGTTTAGTTGATATTTAGATGAATAATTTGAGCCCTTTTTTCATCAAATACGAGTGGATTGTTCGAGTTTAGTGGATATATAGATGAATAATTTTGAGCCCTTGTTTCATCATCATCTGTGGATTATCCGAGTTTAGTTGATATATAGATGGATTATCAGCTGGGGAATTCAGGTTAGGGATCATATTTGTATGCTGTATCATGTCTGAATGGCATTCAAGGTCTTGTATTGACTCCCTGGAGCAGCATTGAAAAACAATATGCTTTGTAGAATCAGTGATGCTGGTGGGACTTGTTGCAGGCTCTGAGTTTCCAACCACTCTAGTATCAGAAGAATAATGGTTATCAGTGTTCTGTTAGTCAAATTTACTTGGTTTAACGAAGTAATTTATATGTAAATTATCTCTTTATCCCCATATAAGACATTCACTCAGTGCAATATGTATCCAGTTCACAATTGTGTGTCACAAAATCTTTTACTCATCTTGGATACCAAATATGTATATACAATCATGAGTATTACCCTTGCACTCGTTGCTCATTAACAATATGATCCGTATAATGAAGAACTTTTTTCTTTCTTTGCCACTCATTGCTTATTGCTTTTATAATGAAGAACATTTTTTCCTTGTCCACTAATTGACTGGCTGATGAAGGGCTGAGTTTGTCCTGTATTTTGACACTATCTTCATCTGTCCTTATTCTTTTCCTTAGAAATCAAGTACAAGTGATGACGAATACTGTGGTTTGTCACTTGGTTTTTGTGTTCTGAACTTCTGATGTCTTTCTTCTTCACCTTTGTGTAGGGATTGACATGGCTTCTTCCTGAACGCTTTTCTGCTTCAGAAATTGGGCCAGAAGCAGGTTTTGTGAAACTTTGGTAACCTTTAAGTTCTTCTCACTAGCTTTTACCAATTGCTTTTGGTGCGGTTTACGCTCCTCGCTGCCTTTTGCTAGGATATATCAAGTGGTCTTCTAATGAGATAATGTTTGATGATTTGCATACAGTCACTTCGATATTGGGTATACTTACAGCAATCAATGAACATATAATTGAGACAACACCAACACCAGCACAATGGCGAGTTCCCACATCATCATCATCATCATCATTCCCTTTTTCATTGTGTATATCTGCTTTGAAGGAAGCAGAGACATTGGTTGAAGTTGTGGCGCAGCAGTTGTATGGAGATGACAAAAAGTGGAACTTTATCTTGATTACAGAGGCCTCTAAGTAAGTTTGTGTGCAGCTCTTCATCTTCTGTACCTGCATATCCTATTGATTTTATACATGGCTGATATAGTATGTGCAATTTGCTTTAGGGCTTTGCTGAGATTAGCATTGTTTCGAGATAGTGGCTACAAGATGCTTTTACACGGTGGTGAAACACCAAACATTGATGATCCCCCAAATCCTCAAAATAATCCTGGAGATTTGGCAAAACCTGGTGGAGATCTGAGGCCTGCATACCTCAACAATCAATACGTTCAAAATCCATGGAATCGTGAAGGGAAGGCACTTGCCGCATTGAATAGGTTTGGAGAAAATGCTAGGATGGTTTATGATCCAACATGGCTTAGAAGGACCCAACAGCCAGGAGTAATCACAAGCACTCCAAGTATTTACTGATCTGGAACTTTAAGTTTGGTTCTTATCATTTCATAACTGAAAAATTAAAGTTATTCAAGTGTTGTTTTTTACAGCTGTAGTGATTGAAAGGCCAACAGTTTCTTCGATATTGTCAGAGAAGGGTCTTTGTGGCGGCTTGTTTCTGATGGGGGAGACACTATTTATCTTGAGGCCTCTCATTTATGTATGGTTTATCAGAAAATACGGGATTCGTTCATGGAAACCATGGCTCATTTCACTAGCCGTGGACCTGGTTAGTTCAAGCGTCAGCTCACTAGCAACAAAATCAAAAGAAGGGACAAATGAACAGAAAGAGACTAATCTTTCTGTAGCTGAGAAGGACGAGGTCATAAATTTTTCTCTATTTTAACATTTTTTTATACAGTAATCATCAATTAACCAACCTCTTTCTTAAAGGCGGCTTAGTATTGAAATGTTGTGTGTTGGATTGCAGCTAAGGCGGCGGAAAGTATTGTGGGCACTGTATATTATGAGAGATCCATTCTTTTGCACTTATACCAGGTTCGGTGTTTTAGTCATCTGTAATGTTCTTAAAATTTTCTGACAGTAAATGATTATGTATCTGAGCAGTTTGTGCTTGTGTTATGCTTACAGACGACGGCTTGAAAGTAACCAAAAGGTGTTGGAACCTATTCCTGTTGTTGGATTACTCTCAGGTGTGATTTTATCTCATTTTCTGTTTCCCTGTGAACTTAGTTTTATCACTTATATTTATTCTGTTTAACATAAAAATGACTTGCTTTTTCATGCAATCCTAACTTCGTGACATTGTTGAAGACGGATAACATAGGATAGAATAATCATTCTTGTGGACTTCTGCTGCTATGAAAAAACTCTAATATGCGTTTTAATGATTTCTACTTGATGCAGAAAAACTAGTCGACCTGATCTTTGGAGCCCAGACACGGTATACTTACATGTCTGGATCATAGTGCTGAAGATTAAGCTGCTGTTTTGATGACAATCTTTGTATCAAATTTATTTATTTGTAAGAAAAATGGCATATGATAAATAATCAATCTTGTATGGTTTACCAATAATTAGTGCTAATTTATTGCCAATGAATTTTTATTTATTCTATCACTTAAATAATATGATATCATTGACTCCATAAACATACATATACTCCGTGTTTTTATTTATCCCATCACTTTTCCGTTTCATTTTAGTTGACACATCTTTGTTTGATTAGTCTCAACGTCTACCTTTGAAATATCAAAAATTTATGATATATCATAAAAATGACTTGTTAAGATTAAATTACAAAATAAAGTCAAAGAAACTTATGTGAATAGTGGCGAAAGTCAAAACATGCCAATCAAATTAGAACGAAGAATGCTTAATTCGTATAATTATTTTTAGGAGTGTCCGTTCGGTTTTCGGTTTGGATTTAGTCCAAATCCGATCCAATCCGAAATATAATTCGGTTTTCAATTTTCCGATCCGATCCGATCCGAATTTCTCTCTTGATCCAATCCAATCCAATCCGAATTACAATTCGGTTATTTGGATCCGATCCGAAAATCCGAATTATAATACATTATTTTTTAGCGCCTAATACAATTATAAAAATAAAGCTTCACTATAAATAAAAGTCCTCAAAATCATGATTAAAATAAATAGTTCAACGTCAAGTCATTAATTAATTAATACAAAGTATCTCTAACTTATTTTATGTAGTAGTATGTATTTAAACTAAACTTCAAAATATACAAAAAAATCCATATTTATACAAGCTTAATTTTATAATTCGGTTTTTGGTTTGGATTGGATCCAATTAGGGTCAATCCGATCCAATCCGAAAATCCGAATTTCCAAAAAATCTCAATCCGATCCGATCCGATTTAAAATTTGGATCCGATCCGAATTGATAATTCGGTTTGGATTGGATTGGATTTCGGTTTTTATCCGAATTATGGGCACCCCTAATTATTTTGCAGTCATATTTTTTGCAAAAAAAAATTCTCACTTTTAAAATGATCAAAACATCTCAAAAGTAACAAACTCACAAGACACAACTATGTATGAAAGTCGAATAATTATACATATACTCCATACTTTTTACCAAATTGTAACTACAAGTATCTAACTCGCAAATACTGTACCAAAAAAACCGTAAATTGTTTTATGTTAGAGAATTAGGGGTTAGGGTGCTAATTGTTTATATAATCTCCAATTTTCAAGTATGAGTGCTTAGTCCTACCTCCTCTTCCTGTCTCTCTCACTTCGTTCTCCATTGAAGCGCGCTTGACGTTCTCTATTGAAATATCTGTATCCCCCATTGAAGCAGCTTCTGAGGTAAGTTGTAGTTTCTTTTTGTAATCATCCTATCAATTTCACAATCTAGGTTAGGGTTGAAAATCTGAACTATTGATTCTAAATACTAAGATTATGAAGGATCATAAGTAGCGATTCTGTTGTTAGAAAAGAAAATTATGAGCTTAATTGATTATTGAATCAAATATCCCTAAAATTATGTGATAATTGAATCAAATTTGGTTGCTAATGTATTGCAGAACACTTTAATATTAGGATTGAACTATGAAATTTGAAGATCTTT